GCGGAGCCGCTGAGCCTGCCTGCCACCCCAGCAGGGCTGAAGGGACTGGGTGCCGCCATCTTGTGGCTGTGGGCACTGCCATCTTTGAGGGCAGGGCAGTCAATTAGTATATTCCCTCCTTATTGGCTGTGGGTGCTGCCATCTTTGTGAAGGCATGAGGGTCAATTATCATATTCCCTCTTTATTAGATAGGATGGGCAGCTGAACTATAGAAAGCAGGAAGCAGAAGTGTACCTATGGGGTCTGATTCTATCTCCAGGTAGTGTCAGAATTGAGTTAAATTATAGGACACCCAGCTGTTGTCAGGGAAGTGTAGGGTGTGATAGCAGTGTAAGAATAAAGGAGAGCCCAGCCAGTGTGGCTCAGTAGTTGGGCATCCACTTTTGAACCAGGAGATCACAGTTGGATTCCTGGTCGATTCCTGGTCGGGGCACATGCCTGGTTGCAGGCTTGATCCCTGGTGTGGGGCATGCAGGAGGCAGCTGATCAATGATTCTCTCTCATCTTGATGTCTCTCTCCCTTTCTCTCTCTCTCTCTCTCTCTCTCTCTCTCTCTCTCTCTCTCTCTCTCTCTCTCTCTCTCCCCCCCCCTTTCTCTCTGAAATCAATAAAAATATATTTTAAAAAAAACAAACAATAAAGGAGGAACACACAAAAGAAAGAGTGAGTTTTTTCAAAGGTCTGACTTTAATCAGATACTCATAAAATGGGGTTTGGAACCTTCCTGAATTTAAGCACTGTCACAATGTTCATCAAGAAGCAAATGCCATTTTGAGAACCGCCTAGCCCCTGGCATTTGAAGAAGGGCAGCCTCAGACCTACAGCTGCAAGGGACTCAGTTCTACCAACAATCTGAATGACCTTGGGAGCAGCACTCAAGCTCCAGAGGAGAATGCAGCCCAGCTGACTCCCAGATTGCTGCCTTATGAGACCCTGAGCAGAGGACCTAGCTAAGCTGAGCCGAAACTCCTAACTTGTGGAAATGGTGCTATAACAAACATGGGTTATTTTAAGCCACAAGGTTTATGGTAATTTGTTATACAGCAATAAAAAACTAATGCATGTTCAGATGAAAATTAAATGATTTTTAGACTAGGAATAAAAAAATTCAAATTCTTGTAAAAAAAAAAAAAGCAGCAGAAGTGGCCTTATTTATGATTCTTCTTTGCCAATCTGCTATATACATTTAAAAGTACTGGATAAGGAATCAAGGAGGTCTGAATTGAATATACCATAGATTCCATTTCCTCAAAACTTGCCTGAGCAAATATTATTTATCTGTACTTTATTTTCCCCCCCTTTTTTTTAATTGGAAAAGGAGGATAAAGCCTACCCAGGCTGCCTCAGGTTACTTCAAGTACAAGAAGTATTCAGTAAACTATGAAATTCCATCCAAATTGAGCTACATTAGGCAATATAGGATTTATAGTACTCTCTATTAGAATGTTCATTTCTATTACACAAACAGAGGTAATATATAGACTTCTGGGGTCAATTCCAAACTTACGCTATCAGAATCTATAGAAGCAAGGCAACCCATGTCTATTTTTAACAACTTGACAAATAGTATATAATACTACATCATTTGCATTTCTGGTGTGCTCCTTCCTACATCAATGAAAGTTTCACTGCTACGTACAATTTAATTTTCTAATCATCTTGAAATAATTTGCAAAAAAGTAACACAAATCTTGTATTGTCATAAAACGACCCAAATTAAAATTAAAAATTAAATAATTTATATTTCAATGGCAATTATTTTATAATTGTTTTTAATTAAAAAAAAACAATGCTCATTATGTGTAATACAGTTGATTGAAAATTATTTAGAGAACTAAGAATCACTAATCATGCAAATAACTCAATTTCCTGGGGGGGAATTATTATATTTTACCACATTAACTTCATTCATGCCAAACATTAGCATATTTAGTAGTTGCCGAGTTAAGATACTGCATTGGTTCTTTACATCTCATTTATCCCAGTAAAACTTCACAAGTATTTTAAAGCACATATTTGTAAGTATCCATAGGTGCTCTGAGGTTATCAATATGTGACTAATGTTTCTTCAGTTAAACCTTCATGTTTAGAGTTACCTAAGTCCCTCCCAAATAACAATTTGGGAGGTCCTATATCTATCGTCTTTATCATTATAGCCCTGTTATAAAGGTGAAAGGAGAAGAAAGTAGTTGCCTGTTAGGTGAGATAGCTTAGGAATTATTACTAAATCTGATAGAGTGGAAGAAAAAAGCTAAGATCCAAGATAACCCAAAACAATGAGAAATTTGAATAAGTTTCCAGATTTCATCCTAACCTGTTTAAGAGGCTAATGCTATAGAACTAAATGTGTAATCAGAATATATAATAACAATATATTCTCAGAGACTATATTTACCTGGAACAACACAAATAGATGGGTTGGAGAATGGGGAATGGATGAATAAATTATGAAATATTTATACAGTGGGATACTTTAGAGCAGTGAAAATTAATGAACTATAGTTATATGTAACAACACAGATAAAGAGCATCGTGAGTTACAAGAAGAAAAAGCAATATGATTTCATTTGCACAAAGTTCACAAAACATGCAACACTAAATAATATAATATTTAGGGATGCAAATAATATGGTAAAACAAACAAAAACAGGAAAATTATAAAGAGGGAAGGAAAATAATATGATTAGGAAAAGAGTTACACAATGAAATTTAAAGGGAATGCTCATTTTCTTTTCTTAAATTGGGTGACAGATCACAGGTGATTGCTGTATTGCATTTATTTATTCTGTACTCGTGATTTGCAAATATTATTTTGTAGGTTTTCAATATTTAACAAAGCAAAATTTAATGTCTTTCCTTTTATACTTTCTTGTAGTAAAACAACTTTATGATTTTAATAAATTTCAATTCAGTATTTTCAACAGCAGCAGCTACAAAAGAATATACATATATTTTAGTTTTATTACTATGCCTAAGATAAAAATCTAAATCTTTTAACTGAAACCGGTTTGGCTCAGTGGTAGAGCGTCGGTCTGCGGACTGAAAGGTCCCAGGTTCGATTCTGGGCAAAGGCATGTACCTTGGTTGCGGGCACATCCCCAGTGGGGGGTGTGCAAGAGGCAGCTGATCAATGATTCTCTCTCATCAATGTTTCTAACTCTCTATCCATCTCTCTTCCCCTCTGTAAAAAATCAATAAAATATATTTAAAAGAAATGAATCTAACTTTTAGAAATAAGATATCCAATAAAAATTAAAGCACTTTTTGAATTCAAAATTAGTTCAGAACTCATAAATTAAAACTTCTTAATCTTTTAAGATAAAGGCTATGTATATATTTTTTTCACTTAAGATGGGCATAAATAACAAATTTCCTAACTGAACAAATATCTTCAGATCTTGGTTTTACTAAAAACCTAATCCTATCCCTAAGGAAACATCTCTTAAGAAATTCAACAATATTCAAAAACACTTTAAAATATTTTTTAAAAGACTTGTTTATGGTTACCTAATTATAACAAAAAAATCTTTACATAAAACCTGGAAATGCTTAAGCTTTAGTGGATTGTTCTGGTCTATATGTGTATTTATTCAAAGAGCTGTGTTAATAAATATTAGGCTCCTAGGGAATAACTTATAAAAAACATTTTTTAACCTTTATCCCCGAAATAGTTCTCAAATGGTGAAATACATTGGTTAGCGTGGAAAGTGATGAAGCAATTAAATCTACCAAATTTTGTCTGTCCCTTGGGAAATATATGTTACTTCTCAAATACCCATTCACACACACAGAGAGAGATAAAAAATAAAAACAATATTTATACTGTTTCTTCTATGGAAGTGGTTTCCAGATTAACCTAATATTAAAAATGGTTTGTTTTTCCAGCACCAAGGGTTTGTAATTAGGAAACAGTCTGTAGCCTACCGATAATTAACAGAAAAGTAAAACAGCAGCTTTTGGAACCACTTTGATTCAATAGGAAACTTTCCTAAAGATAAAAAGCTCATCCCACTATGTACTCATTATTGTCCCCACATATTGAAATTTTAAAGATTAGGGAACTTTTAAAGCCAAATTTATAAAATCCCTCAGTAAGAGAATAATTATCCTAGCTATTTTCCCCAAAGTAATATCTCTTAGCTCTTCCTTGGACTTTCCAACAATTCCGAAATACAGTGACACCAGCGCCGACGATCCCCTTCCTTCATATAAATCTAGAGATGGCGTCTTATAAATTATATTTGGTTGTTTTAATAAGTCACATACAAACTACCAACCGCTATTTCGTATTTCGATTAACCTCTTCACCAACTACAGTTTAGAGATATTTAGTAATTTTCATATTTTACACCATCTATTGTAAAAAAAGAATAATCATTTTGTTACGATATATTTCTCACAGAAACTTTACCTCTTTAAACTAAGTTTACCTTGTCCTGCCCTAAAAGTTTAAGGATCGCGATCCTTTCTAAAACTTCAACTGACGGAACATCGCATTTCCAAACGGCCAACCCCGCTTATCCCTTAAGTTCTTATTTCGTATGATTATAGCTATTTAAAAAAACAACAAAAACCAACCAAGTACTTAAAAGCCCTATACCTTTTTCCTTCATCCGTAAGTTTTAAGCTCTGAGAACAGAACTGAGGGGTCAAAGATAGTAAGAAATCTGAGGGAAGAGGTGGGACGCGAGCGAGCGTAGGAAGCTCTCAGAACGAGGCTGGCGGATCGGGCGGGAAAACCGTTAGGAACCCGTATGTCTCAGGTAGCAGAGGGGGAGGGGCGTAACCGCTCGGCCTGGCGTTCTCACGGCCCCCAGCGCCTGCAGCCCACCCTAAACACCTCAGTGGGTGGCTCAGTGGCAGCCATTTTGGCGTAACCCTAGCTCCGCCCCCAAGCGCTGACAGCTCCGCCCCCAAGCGCTGACAGCTCCGCCCCCAAGCGCTGACAGCTCCGCCCCCAAGCGCTGACAGCTCCGCCTCCCGGTGGGCGTTGCGCCGAAACCGGAAGTGGGAGCTCCAGTCTGAATGCCTGGCCCGCTGCCGCTGGGCTAGACCTGGATGGAATTCTGAGTCTTCTCGTCAAATCCGTGCCGTCTCCCGGCCTGTCGTCTCCTAAGAAAAGTCGTGGGACCATGTCGAACATGGAGAGTATCCTTTCTCGTCCGATAAGCTGTTGCTAGGGCTTTAGGGAAAGAAAAGGCGGGGGTGTGCGGGGGGAGGGGGGAGAGGGCGGGGGCTGGAGCTCAGGGAAGAGCTCCGCGGCGGCTTGATCTTTTAGCTTTAGTTGTGGAAGGGTAAAGTAGCGCCGGCAGCTTTTTTTTTTTTTTTTTTTTTTTTTTTGGTGTGTTTTTGTTTATTGTTTATTTTGTTATTGTCTTCTGGTAGTCGTGGCCATCCTACAAACAGGGGATTCGGAACTCAGTCACTGGACTGGTTTGAGAAGATTCTTGAGCTTGAATCCTCCCTCATTCTGTCACCTGTTCTTTCAGTGGAACTAGCCACCTCTTAGAAATAAATCCGAGAGGATGGTGTGGAGACGGGCTGCAGGAGTTTGCCAGAGGTTTGGAGCGAAGGTATAGGTTTTGATTGCAGTAGCTTCTGTGGAACTTCTTTTTTTTTTTTTCCTGGATGGAGGTGAATAATAACAAGGTAAAGTGTTTAATATCATCCCTTCAAAGTCAGTTGAATGCGTGTGTTAGTAATCTGGTTTAGCATGTGAGGAAACTCATCCTTACCTAAAGCTATAAAAATTCATCAGTTGCACCTGCATTCCCACTGAAGCAAGGGGATTAGGAACCAAGCTGTGTGAAACCCTGAATTGAAGAAGGATAAAATTGCTTTTCACAACTGAAGTTCCATTAAAGGTTTTCCATCTCGCTGTAATGCCTCCCTTATTCCAGGAGTTGGCATTATAGAAAGTAGAGTAAGTTGGTATCTTGCCATTGAATGAAACTTGGCAAAGTGACAAAATGTAGATAATAGTATTTGATAGCTCATTAAAATTTTTTTAAAATATATATTTTATTGATTTTTTACAGGGAGGAAGGGAAAGGGATACAGAGTTAGAAACATCGATGAGAGAGAAACATCAACCAGCTGCCTCCTGTACACCTCCTACTGGGGATGTGCCAGCCACCAAAGGTACATGCCAAACCGGTCAGGGCTGATAGCTCATTTTAAAGCTCTTTGCCTTCATTAGTTTGTAAGTCTGAAATACGTATAGAAAGACTTTTGGTGAGAGGATTACATTATACAAGTCATACTGGGAATATTGATAACACATTCTAGGCTGAACTGTCCAAAATAAACCAAGAATGAAGTGTGTGAAGGTGCAGAATAGGTCATTTTATGAACAGAGTAGATGACTAAAAGGCCCAGTTATCACTGCACTTTAAAGGATATAATTTATGAAAGTGTAGCCCTATTAAATAATATTTTAAAGCAGTATCATAAAGGAAAGACCACTGGACTAAGTCAGAAGATCAGTTTCTAATCCCAGGTTTGCCTAGTAAGAATCATATGAATTAGAGGGAGTCATAGCCTCTTCAGGCAAAGTTGTCTCATCTGTAAAGATACTAACCAACCTGTCAACCTTATAAGGCTGTTATGAAGATAAAGTGAAATGGAAGGGCATACTAAATCATAAAGTTTTGAACATGCTGTTAAATATCGATATTAAGAAGTAGAGTGCTAATTGCTATCTCCCCAGAACTTTTGGAAGGACTTGAGATAATAGCTCTAAAATTGCTTTTTCTATTCTAATAATGCAAATTAATTTTTCTCTATCTAAGCCTGCCCTTTGTGATTTCCAATAACAAGATAATTGGTTACTAATTCTTTTGCTGAAATATATGTATGTCTTACCATAGTTAAAATTAATGGTACTGTTATCAATAATTTATACCTTAAAAATGAACTATTAGCTACCCTTCAGTCTGTCAGAAGTGAGGAGGTATAACTTGACTCATATCATCTGTCAATGGTTACTTCTCTTGGTTCCATTTTGTAGATTCTAGACCTTTTTCTTGTAGTAAGAGGAGGAAAGTTCATATTGACTCAGACCAGTCTTTCATAAATAACTAACTTGAACTGAAACTTGGGTAATATTTATTTGTTGCCTATATTTAATGCAGCATATAAGAAGATTTACAGCATATAAAAAGATTAAATGTGCTAACAATGGAATTAGCATGATATAATTGTGACTTCTGTATTTGGACAGTTAAAACACACTGAATTTATCATGGTGGATTAGATCAAATCTCACTTTAAAAAAATCAATGGAATGATCAAATAGAATATGTTGTAACATGTTCATATAGGTGTTTTACAAGTATATAATTGATAGCAATGTGTGTGTGGTGTTAATACAGTGTGTTTCAGGAGTAGTGTTGATTAACTATAGGAATTATACAATAAAGAGGAATAATAAAGGGTGCTTTCCTACTCCCCTACTCCATGCTCTTATTTTATGTTTTTTTTTTTTTTTTGGTTTATTTGTTTGTTTTTTGCTTCCCTCTGCTATTACCCTTCTTTTGGCATTTTATTGGATCAAGTATGCTTCGTTTTCAGGAAGCTTTCCATGTCATCTTTCTAATCTAATCCACCATCTCCAACAAACTAGAAATCTGAGAGCGCCAGTTCCTGCTCTGTGGTTCTTTTCCCATGTTTTCCCTTCCATTGGAGCCATTTTCCCACTATTGTAATCAGATTCTTGCTTATCTTTTACATTAAATTGAGTTCCTTGAGGGACATGGTCCTTATTTAGTCTTTGAATCCTCATTGCCTGGCACAGAACTTGGATGAAAAGTGGGTAAATGATCTTCTGTTAACCTGTTAACCGAGTGGGACGTATAAATACGTCAAACGTAAACAATATCGGGAACGGGTAGGACGTATGAGTACGTCCTGGAAATATATGTTGTGCCCTGAGAGGGACGGTATATATTTTTTGTAATCTTTATAATTGTTTGTAAAATTTATAATTTTTTAATTCGATGTTTTCATTTTTTTGTTGGTATTTTCTATTTTTTTTGTAATTTTGTATTTTCCTTTGTGCTAAATATATAAATAAATGAAAAAATATACATATCATTTATTTTAATTAAGTATAAATAAATAAAATAGTAATAATATGAAATTAATTCCTCCGGGCGTGACGTACTGACACATCCTAGTGAAAGAGTACGCTCCCATTACAGGTTGTGTAATTAAAAAGGGAACTCCCTGGTTAACAGGTTTTAAGCATTAATTATGAATATATATTGAGCCTCTCCTGCAGGCTGAGCAATGTAGCTGTTGATACAGAGGATTATAAGACCCATTCCCAACTCTGAGCAACTTTTTTTTTTTAAATAAATTTTTATTGTTCATATTATTACAGATGTTCCTTTCCCCCCCTTCTCACCCCACCCTCTGCCCTTTCCCCACTCCCCATTGTCCTCATCCATAGGTGCACAGTTTATGTTCAGTCTCTTCCCACATCCCCCTCTCCCCTTTTCCCCAAGAATAAACAGTTCACTCTCCTTCCATACCTCTGATTCTATTATATTCAACAGTTAATATTGTTACTCAGATTTTTTTTTTATTTTAGTTTCCTTGGTTTTTAGATTCACTTGTTGATAGTTACGTATTTGTTGTTCATAATTTTTATCTTTATTTACTTTCTCTTCTGAAAGAACCCCCTTCAGCAATTAATATAATTTTGGTTTGGTGGTGATGAACTCCTTTAGCTTTTTTTTTTATTAGTGAAGCTCTTTATCTGACCTTGGAATCTGAGTGATAGCTTTGCTGGATAGATTATCTTTGGCTGTAGGTTCTTGCTATTCATCACCTTGAATATTTCTTGCCATTCCCGTCTGGCCTGCATGGTTTCTGTTGAGAAATCAGCTGACAATCGTATAGGTGCTCCTTTATAGGTAACTACCTTCTTTGCTCTTGCTTCTTTTAATATTCTCTCTTTGTCTTTTGCTCTTGGAATCTTAATTATGATTTGTCTTGGTGTGGTCCTCTTTGGATTCCTTTTGTTTGGAGTTCTGTGCGCTTCCTGGACTTGTAAGTCTAATTCTTTCACCAGGTGGGGAAAGTTTTCTGTCACTATTTCAGTATGTTTTCGATATCTTGCTCTTTCTCATCTTCTGGGACCCCCATAATTCTGATGTTGGTTCGCTTGAAGTTGTCCCAGAGGTTTCTTACATTATCTTCAACTTTCTGGATTCTCTGGCCTTCTTGCGTCTGCGGAGGAGTGTCTTCTGGCTCTTTATGTTCCAAATCTTTGGCTTGAGTCTTGCGATCTTCCATTCTGTTTTTAGGACTCCATAAAATATTTTTTATTTCAGACAATGTATTCTTTATTTCTTGTTGATCCCTTATTATTTCTAGTTGATCCCTTTTCATATCCTCATAGGTCTTGTTTATTTTATCGGCCTTTTCTAGGAGATTCTTGAACAACCTTATAAGTGTGGTTTTGAACTCTATATCCAGTTGCGTTTTGTCCTCCATTTCTTTCGTTTGTGATCTATTTGGTTTAGGCATTTTCGCAGGCAGCTTTCCTGATGGGGCGGGGTTTCAGGGTGGAGCCTACAGCCTTGGCTTCCGTCAGCCCCGCCCTATGCGACTCCTGAGACTCAGGGTCCTTCAGTACTTGTTGCGAGCGCCTCTGAGAGAAAGGTGTCCTCGATTTTCGCCTGCTGCAAAACTGTCTATGCTCTCCCCCAATGAGTCCGGTATTGGGGTTCAGTTCAGATGGTAGTGGGATTGGAGGTGGCGTTCAGAGCAGTCTGGAGCCCCTGTCTCCTTCCCGTCAGGGCAATCCCGTCAGGGCACAGCCGTCCGGCCCTTCTCTGCGCGCAGTGTGCGCGCCTCTGGGACCTCCTTTTGCCGCTTCCCTGGAGTCCCGCCTTACAGCCCGGCTCCCTATGGATGAGCCTGGGTCCCCGGGGTCTGGCCTAGAATTGGGGTTCAGAGCAGTTGGAGCTGGGCCCAGCACAGTCAGAGCTTTTCTCTCCTTCCCGCTTGGGACCGCCAGCCAGGCACTCGGCCTCCGTCCTCTCCGGCTCCGTCCTCTCTGCGCGCGCCGTGTGTCTCCGTACCTTGGGCTTTTCCAGCTCTTCCGCGCTTCCTTCTGGTTTTCTCCTTGCTTCTTGTTGTAGAATTTCCAGTCAGTTGACTTTCCTGTAGTTCTGGGTAATGTCCATTTTATATTTTAGTTGTTTTTTGTTGAAATTGTTGTTTGCGGCTGCGGCTAGTTGCCTACCCGAGCAGCCATTTTGGATTCTCCCTTAGATCTCTGAGCAACTTTTGGTCTAACTGAGCCAGGACACACTTGGGGTGGAGGCAGAGAGAAGGTGGGTGAATAGCAATATAAGGTAGTACATACTAACTTAGATGAATACTAGAACAGTGATTCTTGATCCCATATGTAGATGTACTAAACTCCTTGAAATTGTATGCAAAATTTTTTATTACTATGTGCCTTTTTCCTGCAGGATATATCTATAGCCGACATCTATTTCTTCAAGGGATTCAAATCTGAGCGTTGGAGCCAGATCCTCGGTTGGCCGGCCTGCCTGATGGTCAAACTCCTGGCCGAGGGGACAATTTGAATATTAGTCTTTTATTAGTGATCATTTTCGCTTTGTCAGTTTTTTTCCTTTTTTTATTGATTTTTTGAGAGGAAGGTAGAGGGGAAGATAGAAACATAAATGAGAGAAAAACATCATCGATCTGCTGCCTCCTACACACACTCTACTACTGGGAATTGAACCCATAACCTGGGCATGTGCTCAATGGGAATTGAACCAGTGACCTTTTGGTTCCTGGGTCAATGCTCAAACACTGGGCTCATACTGAGTGGGCTGTCAGTTTTATATATGTATGCACAAAGATACTTTGAGGCTATGTAGAGGTACACAGACATTTAGAATTATTTAAACAACTTGTAAATATACCATTTATTGTGGGGTTTTTTTTTTTTAAATCCTCAACTGAGGATATTTTTTTCATTGACTTTTAGAGAGTAGAAGGGAGGGAGGGGCAGAGAGAAAGAAAAAGAAACATCATTGTGGGAGATACACATTAATTGGTTGCCTCTCGCAAACACCCTAACTGGGGATGTGGTTTGAACTGGCAACCCAGGTATGTGCCCTTGACTGGGAATCAAAACTACAACCCCACGCCGGCACCCGTTTGGCTCAGTGGATAGAGCATCGGCCTATGGACTGAAGGGTCCTAGGTTCGATTGCGGTCAAGGGCATGTACATTGGTTGTGGGCACATCCCCAGTAGGGGGTGTGCAAGAGGCAGGTGGTTGATGATTCTCTCTCATCGATGTTTCTAACTCTCTATCCCTCTCTCTTCCTCTCTGTGAAAAATCAATAAAATAAAATATATTAAAACAAAACAAACAAAAAAAACTCTACAACCCCTCTGAGGCCAGGCTGATGCTCTAACCACTGAACTAACTGGCTAGGGCTGTATCAATTTTTAAAAAAATATATTTTATTGATTTTTTCAGAGAGGAAGAGAGAGATAGAGAGCTAGAAATGTCAATGAGAGAGCAACATCGACCAGCTGCCTCCTGCACACCCCCCACCGGGGATGCACTCGCAACCAATGTACATGCCCCTGACCGGAATCGAACCCAGGACCCTTCAGTCCGCAGACCGATGCTCTACCACTGAGCCATACTGGCTTCGGCTAAAACAAAACAAACAAAAAAACCTACAGGCCAGGCTGATGCTCTAACCACTGAACTAACTGGCTAGGGCTGTATCAATTTTTTAAAAGATTCTTTATTGTTTAAAGTATTACATATAGTATTACATATGTTTTCTTTTCCCCCTATTGACCTCTCCCTGGCCATCCCCACCCTCCAGCTTGTGCCCTCATCTCCTAGGTGTGCGTTCCTTGCTTATGCTTATATGCATGCATACAACTCCTTTGGTTGATCTCTTACATATAAACCTCTCCCCTGCCTTCCTTCTGAAGATTGATGGTGTGTTACATGCTTCTCTGTCTCTATTTTTGTTAATCAGTTTATGTTGTTGATTATATTCCACAAATGAGTGAGATCATTTGATGTTTATCTTTCTCTGACTGGCTTATTTCACTTAGCATGAAGGTCTCCAGGTTCATCCATTCTATTGCAAATGATAAGGCGTCTTTCTTTTTTTTATAGCAGTGTAATATTTCATTGTGTAATGTGCCACAGTTTTATAATCTACTCATCTGCCGATGGGCAGTTAGGCTGTTTCCAAATCTTAGCTATAGTAAATTATACTGCTATAAACATAGGGGTGCATATGTCCTTTCTGATTTGTGTTTCTTGTTTCTTGGGATATATTTCTAGAAATGGGAATCCTGGGTCAAATGTGAGTCCATTTTTCACTTTTTCAGGAAACTCCATACTGTTTTCCACAGTGGCTGCACTGGTCTGCATTCACACCAGCAGTGCATGAGCGTTCCTTTTTCTCCACATTCATGCCAGCACTTACCTTTTGTGGATTTGTTGATGATAGCTATTCTGGTACCTTATTGTCATTTTGATTTGCATCTGTGGGATGATTAGTGACTTTGAGTAGGTTTTCATGTGTCTCTTGGCCTTCTGTATGTCCACATTTGAAAAGTGTCTATTTAAGTCCTTTGCCCATTTTTTGATTGGATTATCTTCCTTTTGTTATGAGTTCCCTATAAATTTAGGAGATTAGGGCCTGATCTGATACAACAATAGATCGTGTTGTTTTGCCGATGGTTTCTTTTGCTGTGCAGCTTTTTGTTTTGTTAAAGTACCATTTGTTTATTTTCTCCTTAGTTTCCATTGCCCTAGGAGCTATATTGGAAAATATATTGCTGTGATCTATATTTAATATTTTGCTGCCTATGGATTCTTCTAAGATTTTTATGGTTTCTCATCTTACGTTTAACAATTTTATCCATTTTGAGTCTTTTTTTGTGTATGGCTTAACTTGGTGGTCTAGTTTCTTTTTGCATGTACTTGTCCAGTTTTCTCAGCACCATTCATTGAAGAATCTGTCTTGACTCCATTGTAAGCTCTTGACTCCTTTGTGAAATATTAATTGAGCGTAATGGCGTGGGCCAATTTCTGGGTTCTCTGTTCTGTTCCACTGGTCTATATGTCTGTTCTTGTGTCAGTACCAAGCAGTTTTGAAAACAGTGGCTTTCTAATATGACTAATATTGCGGGGGCCTGACACAGCCGGGGATCTCCCTTCTCCGTAGCCAGCATGGAAAGAGAGAGGAAATTGGTTCTTCGTAGAGGCAGCCAGGGATTGAGAAATAAAGAAATGAAGAGAGTCGATGCAGAAATAGGTTTAAGCTGGGCCCCAGGTGGGTCGCAGACCTCCTCTGCTGGAGAGACTGACAACCCCTGAGCCACACAGCACACTATTCTCCAATACACAAAGGGGGGGGTTTTCACAGGAAAAACAAGGAGCCTGGGAGGGGCCAGGTCCCATCCACTCCTTTCTGCCTGACAAACAAGCCAGGAACTAAGAACATCTCTGCTCTCCCAGGGCAGGAAGGTAACTGACACGATTCTGTCAACATCCTAGGCTCAGTCAACAACAATCTAAAGAATGTCCAGGTATTTTCCAGGGGCCCCCTACATAATATAACTTTTTATTTTGATGTAGTCCCATTTGTATATTTTCTCCTTAGTCTCCATTGCCTGCGAGCTATGTCTGTAAAGATATTTGTACGACATGTGTCTGCCAGTCCCCAACAGTCCTATGGAATATAGCTGTCCCTCACTCAGAAATACAGGCACTCCCCGCACTTCCATGCACTCTCCTTTCACTCTCTCATTCACGCACTGTCTTGCAGCCTGCCTTCCCATTGGCATCCATCTTTGTAATTAAATTTTTAAATTAAAAAAAATGTGTAATAGATAAAAGTTTTTCTGTTTTCTCTAATACTTTGCGAATAGTTGGTTTAAATAACATAATTTTATCTGATAATTTTTATAAATTTAACATCTCATTTGCAGTTAGTTATTGGGAAATGACTTTTTTGGAATACCCTTAACATTTATTTATAGAACACCTATTTAACTTGAAGTTTGCTGCAAAAGAGCTTAATAGAAATGCCAAGAAATGTGATAAAGAAGAAAAGTCTGAAAAGGCGAAGATTAAAAAGGTAAGCTACTTTTATTATTTTTATCTCTTTAAAATTCATGATAGCACAATTAATCGTGCAAGAGTGAATATTTCAGTTAACATTGAAGAAAGATTACTGGTGTAGAGAAAGACAAATATCACGTGATCTCACTTATATGTGGGATCTAATGAACACAATAAACTGATAAATAAAATAGAACCAGAGACATGGAAACATGGAACAGACTGAAGAATTCCTGGGGCAGGGAGGAATTGGGTGGTGGGGGAGAGAGAGGGAAGAAGTGGGGGGCATTTGGAATACTTTCAACAATAAAGTTAAAAAAAGAAAGATTTCTGGATTTGGCATTCTAAACCAAATATTATTGTCTGACATAGTTAATGCTCCTTTTTGTTTTTACTACCTACATGTTCAAATGTGGGTCACATACAGAGTATAACTGTTTTGATACCTCTGTCTAAAGGTTGTTCTTTGTAGCCCAAACTACTCTTAGAAGTATAAAACCTATATGTAAAAATAAAATTTAATGTTTTTTGGTTCATTTTAACTTCCATAGTCTCTGAAGTTTTACATCTAAGTAGTGTATAGTATTAATGTGTATTGTGTTTGTGTATTTGCTAGGAGGTTGAACTGCAAATAGTTGTACTCATGGCTATGGTGTACTTTATACTAAAAGGATCAAAGCAAAATCAACACTAAAAAGGCATAAAAAGAAGGAAATCCTTCCATTTGCAATAGTGTGTACAGACTTTGAAGGTATTATGCTAACTAAAAACAAATCAAACAGAGAAAGGCAGATACATGTGATCTTACTTATGTGTAATCTTAAAAACAACTCATGGATAAAGAAGAGGTTGGTGGTATGGGGGGGGGGGGGGGGAGATGGGAGATGAGTGGAAAGGGAGAAAATGGCCAAAGTATATAAACTTCTGGTTATAAAATAATTAAGTCCTGGGGTCCTATTGTACAACATGGTGACTATAGGTAATAATTCTGTATTGTATATATGAATGTTAAAAGAATAGATCTTAATACAATAGTTCTCCTCACAAGAAAAAAATTATATCTGTGTGTGGTGACGGATGTTGACTAGAAATAAAAAGGAAAGTGTGAAATTGCATGTTCCAGTATCTTTATTACATTGCTTTTTATATTATTGAAGAATTGGAAAGAAACTAAATTCCCAGCATTAAGGGATTTTTAAAAATTTTTATTAAATTTATTGGGATGACATTGAATAGTATCATATAGATTTAAAGTGTATATTTCTTTATTTTTTATTGTTTAAAGCACATGTGTCAAACACAAGGCCTGTGGGCCAAATCCGTCCCGCCAGGCCTTGCAATGTGGCCTGCACCGCGCTGTCATCACTGCACTCTGCTGCGTTTCCATCACAATGACAGTTTATGACTGTTCAGTAAACCATTCGGCCCGCGATTTAGGCTGGATTTTAGATTTTGGCCCCTTCTCTGATTGAGTTCGACACCCCTAGTTTAAAGTATTAGAAAAATATGTCTCCTTATTTTCCCCACTGACTTTCCCCCAGCCTCCCCTATCCCCTGGCACATGCCCTCACCTCACCACGCCCCTCCCCCCCAGTGTCTTGCATCCATTGGTTATTCTTATATGCTTGCATACAAGTCCTTCAGTTGATCTCTTAACTCCGGCCCCAAACCCTCCCCAGTCTTCCCACTGTAATTTTACAGCCTGTTTGATGCATCTCTGCCTCTGTATCTCTTTTTGTTCATCAGGTTATAATGATCTTTATTATCCATAAATGAGTGAGATCATGTGGTATTTTTCTTTTATTGACTGGCGTATTTCACTTAGCTTAATGCCATCCAGTTCCATCCAGGTTGCTGCAAATGGTAAGAATTCTTTGTTTTTTTAAAGCAGCATAGTATTCCATTGTGTAGATGTACCATAGTTGTCTGATCCAGTCACCTGCAGATGGGCACCTAGACTGTTTCCAAAGCTTAGCTATTGTAAATTGTGCTTCTATGAACATAGGGGTGCATATATCCTTTGTGAATGGTGTTTCTGTTTTCTTGGGATATATTCCTAGAAGGGGTATTACTGGGTCAAATGGAAGTACCATTTCTAAAATTTTGAGGAAAAGCCATACTGTTTTTCCACAATGGCTGCACCAGTCTGCATTCCCACCAGCAGTGAAGGAGAGTTCCTTTTGTTCCGCATCCTCTCCAGCACTTGTCATTTGTTGATTTGTTGATGAGAGCCATTCTGTCAGGTGTGAGGTGGTACCTCATTGTTGTTTTGTTTTGCATCTCTAGGATGATTAGTGACTTTGAGCATGTTTTCGTGTGTCCCTTGGCTTTCTGAATATGTCCTCTTTCGAAAAGTGTCTATTTAGGTCTTTTGTTAAGTTGTATGACTTCTCTGTAAATGTTGGATATTAAACCTTTATTGGAGATAACATTGGCAAATGTGTTCTCCCAATTAATGGGCTTTCTTGTTGTTTTGTTGATGGTTTCTTTTGCTGTGCAGAAGCTTTTTATTTTGATGTAGTCCCATTTGTTTATTTTCTCAGTCTCTCTTGCCCTAGGATTTGTGTCTGTAAAGATATTGCTACAACATACACTGAGTGGCCATATTATTATGATCTCTGAATAAATAATAATCTGGCCACTCAGTGTATATCCTATATAATAAAAGGCTTATATGCATATTGTACCCTTGACCAGGAGTTCGACCAACAGGCAGGCTGGCCAACAACCCATGTCCCTTCCCCCTGGCCAGGTTGGACGGACCCCACCCATGCAGGGGGGCAGTTGGGGACGAGCAGACCGGTGGTGGGGGCAGTTGGAGATAGCACACTAGCATGGGGAACAGTTGGTGGTGATCAGGTTGGTGGGGGGGCACTTGGGGGAGAGCAGGCCAGTATGTAGAGTGGTTAGGGGCAATCAGGCAGGCAGGCAGGCAGGCAGGTGAGTGGTTAGGAGCCAGCATTCCTGGATTGCGAGAGGAATGTCCGACTGCCAGTTTAGGCCCAATCCCTGTAAATCGGCAGTAGGACATCCTTTGAGAGACCCCAGATTGGAGAGGGTGCAGGCTGGGCTGAGGGACACCCCCCACCCATGCATGAATTTTGTGCACTGGGCCTCTAGTATTTATATACTGAGTGGCCAGATTATTATGCGTTCAGAGATCATAATAATCTGGCCAATCAGTGTATGTCTGCAGTTTTGCTACCTATGGAGTCTTGTAGGATTTTTATGATTTCCCGTCTTACATTCAAGTCTTTTAGCCATTTTGAGGTGTTTTTTTTTGTTGTTTGTTTGTTTTTGTGTGTGTGTGTGTGTGTGTGCGTGTGTGTGTGTGTGTGTGTGTGTGTGTGATGTAAGTGGGTAATCTAGTTTCATTTTTTTGCATGTATCTGACCAAAGTTCCCAGCATCATTTATGAAAGATACTGTGTTGACTCTATTGTATGTTCCTGCCTCCTTTGTCAAATATTAATTGAGTATAATGGCTTGGGTCAAATTCTGGGTCCTCTGTTCTGTTCCATTGGTCTATATGTCTATTCTTGTGCCAGTAACAGGCAGTTTTGAGAACCGTGGCTTGGTAATACAGCTTGATGTCTGGTATTGTGATTCCTCCAACTTTGTTCTTCTTTCTCAGGATAACTGTGGCTATTTAGGGTCTTTTTTTTATTCCAAATGATTTTTTGGAGAGTTTGTTTTAGATCTTTGAAATATGTCATTGGTATTTTAATAGGTATTGCATTGAATCTATATGTTGCTTTAGGTAGTATGGACATTTTAATGATGTTGATTATACCAATCCATGATTATGATACGTATTTCCATTTGTTTATGTCTTCCTCTATCTCTTTTTTTCAATGTCCTACGGTTTTTTGAGTATACAGGTCTTTTATGTCCTTAGTTAAGTTTATTCCTAAGTATCTTAATTTTTTTTGGTGCAGTGGTAAATGGGATTGTGTATTTCATTTCTCTTTCTGTGAGTTCATTATTGGTGTATAAAAAGGCCATAGTTTTCTGGGTTTAACTTTTGTATCCTGCTGCATTACTGAATTCATTTATTAGGTCTAATAGTTTTTTGATGGAGTCTTTGGAGTTTTATATATATGGCATCATGTCATCTGTGAACAAGGAGAGTTTTACTACTTCTTTTCCAATTTGGATGCCTCTTATTTCTTCTTCTTGTCTGATCGCTATGGCTAGTACTTATAGTACTATGCTGAACAGGTGAAAATGGGCATCCTTGTCTGTTCTTAGGGAAATGGGTTTAGTTTTTGCCCGTTGAGTATGATGTTGGCGTTAGGTTTATCATAGAAGGCTTTTATTATATTGAGGTATGATCTTTCTATTCCCACACTGCTGAGAGTTTTTATCAAGAAAGGCTATTGGATTTTGTCAAATGCTTTTTCTGCATCAATTGATATGATTATGTGATTTTTGTCTCAATTTGTTTATGTGATGTATCACATTTATTGATTTTTGGATATTGTACCATCCTTGCATCCCTGGAATAAATCACACTTGGTCATGGTGTATGATCTTCCTAATGTATTGCTGAGTTCGATTTGCTAGAATTTTGTTAGAGATTTTAGCATCTATGTTCATCAAGGATATTTGAATGTACTTCTTTTTTTTAATTGAGGTGTTTTTATCTGATTTTGGGATTAGGGTAATGCTGGCTTCATAGAAAGAGCTTGGAAGTGTGCCTTCCTTTTGCATTTATTTTTGAATAATCTGAGGAGGCTAGGTTTTAGTTCTTTATTTATTTATTTATTTACTTATTTATTTATTTATTATATGTATAGTAATCAGTTTATTACACAGATTAATCATTCTTGAACGTACAAGCTCCAGAGGAGCTACTGGGTCTTTAAATATACACAAGTATTTCCATCAAATGAATTCTCACCCTTACATCCAGAAAGACCTAAGCAGTTAAAAACATAAGAAAAATAAGAGCTATTAGCTATGTATTAACTGAGAAACCACATACAAATCAAAGAATATGGAAGAGAGAAAGAAG